GTCCATTATTTGATGGCAGGGCTTAGGTTTCCCATTCCAGAATTACTGGTGGGGCTATTATTAGATTACAGTATAGGAATAACCCAATTAACCCCAAATGCCATGAGGGTAATAATAGGTTTTCTTGTATACTGCAGAGTTCGGGGGGTGGGAGTCCCTACAGTGAACATGTTCAAACATTTTTTTGTAATAAGGGGCGGGGGTAGAGGTGAGAAGGGATGGTACTACTTCGGCCCTCGGTCGTCCAGTAAAGAGAAGAAGAGTTTATTCTCTGCTGGACCGTCATCCATCAAAGGATGGAAAGAAAAATTTTTCTTTGTGGATGACACCGAGTGGAGTAGGAGAGATGCCGAGGTGGGGGAGTTGTTTGCTTGGAAGGCCAAGAAAACCAAGCAGAACAACTATAAGTTAAATGAGGATGAGGTGGAGGAGGTAGAGAAGCTGGTGAGGGAGGAAGGAGACGTGGTGGACATCCTGCACCTCACCAGTCTGCAGGCAATAGAGGCTGTTGAGCTCTATGGGCCAAGCTTATTGAGTGAAGGTTTGTGTATGTTTATACTGCTCTATGTTGGTTAGATTTTAGTTGGCGTGTGTTGACCTTTGTGCTTGTTTTGCAGCTGAGATGGAAGAGTTTACAAATGCTGCTGGCGGGCTGCGCATCTCGAAGAAGCCAAGGAAGAAGTCAAGGACTTCAACTGCGGCGGACAAAGGGGCGGTGGAGAGAGAGCGCCTGCCCAGCACTTCTGCTCGAGTGCTGGAGATACAGCCAAGACCAGAACCTGTGATGGGGGGAAGTGAGGATGTGAGCGAGGAAGTGGCACCTCTCCAAAGGAAGAAGAGGAAGGTGTCACAACCAGAAGCCAGGGGGGATGAGGTGGTGGAGTTTGTGCCTCGGCCTTCTCCTCTAGAAACTGATCCTGACGTCCGGGAGAGGGAAGAGGTCGAGGTGCGAAGCCTTGGTGGAGGCAGGGAGCGTACCCCTCCTCACACGTACCAGAAGAGTTTGTTTGAGGCAACAAACACGACTGGGGCGAAGCACTTCCTCAACTCTTCTCTTCCTGAGGTGGATAGGAGGCAGGCAAAGGACGAGGTGGTGAGCCATGTGGGGTATACCGTTGTGAGGCACACCCTGGAGGTATGTAAAGCAGTCGTAAATATATGATTGATTTTTTATTGATTGATTTTTTTTTTTTTTTGACTTCTGCGTTTGAGGTCTGACATCTACTTGCCTTGCAGTGTGCAAGCTGGACAAACGCTCTTGTGCAGGAGTATGCGGAGAGTGTGAGAGATCATGCCAGCTTGCTGAGGCAGTGCGAGCAGTTGCAGAAGGAGAAGGATGAGCTGCAGAAGGAAAATGGGGAATGGGAGAAGGAGAAGAGGGAGATGCAGAGGAGGCTGGATGAAGTTCTCCCTTCAGTGACTGAGCTCCAGAACGAGAATGAGGTCCTGAGCACGAAGCTTGGCCTCGAAGAACGTAAGAGAAAGATCTGTGAGGAGAAGCTCGAGGCTCAGGACAAATATATTGACAACATGAGGAAAGGAGCAGCGGAGCTGAAGAAGAACGTGAACCTGTTGGTTCACAACGGGATGGAGGAGCATATAAGCAACTTCCTCAACTCCAGCACCTTCGAGGACATCCTTAAACTCTACCGGCTGCCAACTGCAATTGTGGCCTTCACCAACTATAGAAAGAAGGTGAAGGCCCAGTACCCAGAGGTGGATGTGACAACAGTCACCTTTGGGGAACAAGAAGAAGGGGTGGAGGAAGATGGGGAAAGCCTCTGTGCTGACTTCCGACCTCAAATCACGCTGAGGTGGGAGCGTGACGCAGAGGGGCTCACTATTTTTCCTCCAACCTTCAAGGCTGAGTTGGTGGCGGTGAGGGGAGAACAAGAAGAAGAAGAAGAAGAAGAAGTGCGAGGCGCTGGAGTTGAGGGTCAGGCAGCAATGGCTGAAGTGCAGCCTCCCGAGGTGCATTCAGTCTCCTCTGACGAGGTGCAGCAGCTGGCCCCTCCTGAAGTAGAAGTGCCGCCCTTGCCCTTTGGAGATCAGCCACCCCCACCTCCTCTTCCTGCTAAGGAGCAGCCTCCTCCCTCAGCAGATTAGCTTAGGAGTTTGTTTGTATTTTTAGTTATATTTGTATATATAATTTTTTGTACTTGACTGGTTAGTAAGTTATAAAATTTTTGAAGCTATTTTGATGTTTTGTTTGTTATCTTTATTTCAAGTAAATGACTTCAAATGAAATAAGATAACCGCAAGGAACTGACCTCGTAAACCATAACACGTTTTAGCCAAGGAATTGACTTCGGACATGCACGAGGTAGACCACAAATAAATGAAAAGAGATGAAATAAACCAGTGTAATGGAAAAATTGCATCCCAGAAAATGAAAGGATTAAATAAGCCATAAGGAATTAACTGCTAATGCTCAGAAGGGTAGAAAGAACTGAATTACTTCGAATGTGAAGTGAAATTCATATGAATTGAGTTTTAGTACAGCAATCAGAATAATGGTGGTTAAAACAAAGTTTACTGTAAAGAAGTGTGCTAAGGGTAGAATTTCTTCAAATTATTGACATTCCTGACCCTGGGAACCCGGTTGCCTTCAGTGTCTCGTAGGATATAAGCACCTGGGTGCGGCACTTCGGCAACAGTGTAGGGGCCTTCCCAGTTTGGTGCCAATTTGCCGAATCGAGTTTCGAACCCCGTTAGACCTGCTTTCCTGAGAACAAGGTCGCCTACTTTGAATGTTCGGGGTCGAACTCGTTTATTGTAGAAGTTTGCTATTTTCTGCTTGTAGACTAGAGTTCGAAGTCGTGCTTCTTCTCTAACGTCATCCAGCAAATCAAGGTTCTCCCGAAGCAGTTGTCCATTCCGTCTTTCATCGAAATGGGTGACTCTGAAGCTTGGAACTCCAATCTCGATATGAATGACTGCTTCGGTACCAAAAGCTAGATGATAAGGTGTTTCACCTATTTTAGTGGATTATAACTTTAGAATGCGATTTACACGTTATGCATATTTGCTCTAAGGTAAGACCGTAGCAGAAATGATATAAAATTAATCAAATAGGCCAGGTGTAGAGTAATACCTGTGGCAGTTTGACTCGTAGTTCTGTATGCCCAGAGGACGTTGTTGAGCTCGTCTGCCCATTTGGCCTTGTGTTGTTCCAGCCTCGGCTTTATACCTTCTAAGATGCACTTGTTAACAGATTCGACCATGCCGTTGGACTCTGGATGGTAAACTGAGGTGAATTGTAGTTTAATCCTGTAACTGGAGCAGAAATCTTGAAAAGAGGTGCAGTTAAATTGAGTTCCATTATCAGCCACAATCTGATTCGGGATCCCATATCTCCAGATGATTGAGCTGAAAACAAAGTCTTCAGCCTTCTTGGAAGTGAGACTGGATAACGGCCGAGCTTCAACCCACTTTGTGAAATAATCTACACCAACAATCAAGTGGGTTACACTACCAACCCCCTTCACGAATGGACCCAAAAGATCTAAGCCCCACTGAGCAAATGGCCATGGTGCGACCAGAGTAGTGAGTTCTTCTGCAGGCTGGTGAGTTATGTGCGCAAAGAACTGGCATTTCATGCATCTCTGAACAAAGTGAGTAGCATCCTTGTACATGTTGGGCCAATAATAACCCTGTCTAAGGACTTTATGAGTCAAAGTTCGAGCCCCTATGTGACTTCCGCAAACACCTTCATGCACCTCCCTAAGTGCATATTCTGTTTCATATGGATTCAAGCACCGTAGGAGAGGGAGTGAGAAAGATCTCTTATAGAGGATCCCATCAACAAGTGTATACCGAGATGCTTTCTTCCTCAACCTCATTGCCTCCTGCTTATCCTCAGGTATTACCCCGTCTCGTAGGAAGGAGACAATTGAGTCAGTCCAGCTTGGCGTACCTGGGTCTGTGCTGATTTCCATCACTCGTGGCTTCGTGAAGCTTGGTGCGTCTAAGACTTCCACAAAAACTGATCTAGAACTGGAAGAGCTATCCGAGGCAAATTTAGAAAGTGAATCTGCCTGTTCATTCTCAGCCCTGGGGATTTTGCTCAGACATAACCTCTGAAATTTGCACTTCAGCTCGGCCACGAGGGCTACATACTTGATCATTACCGGATCGACAACTTCGTAGATTGAGTTGATTTGATTCACCACCAGCTGGGAGTCACTGTACACCTGGATTGCGCTGATTTTCAACTCCAACGCTAGCTGTAAACCAAGTAGCAGAGCTTCATACTCAGCCATGTTATTTGTTGCATCGAAGTTGAACTTCAGGGCATGTTCACTCCGGTACCCATCTGGGCCAATCAAGAGAGCTCCAGCTCCTGAACCTTTGCTACTAGATGCTCCATCAACATATAAAGTCCACTCGTTGGGCTCTGGATTGGTTGTTGAATGACATGGAGTGCATTCCACAACAAAATCTGCCAGTGCTTGAGCTCGGATTGCAGATCTCTGCTAAAATGTTATCTCGAATTCCCTCAGCTCCACTGCCCATTTAATTAGTCTTTCGGAGCATTCTGGCTTTTGTAGGATCTGTCGAAGAGGTTGGTCTGTAAGGACAATGATCGGGTGTGATTGGAAATATGGCCTCAACTTCCTGGCCGAAGTGACAACTGCTAAAGTTGCCTTCTCAGCAAGTGGGTACCTCAGCTCTGCTCCATGCAGCACACTGCTGATGTAATAGATTGGCTTCTGCTGTTTGGCTTCCTCTCTCACCAGGACCGAACTAATGGCTTCATCTGAAATTCCCAGATATAAATAGAGGATTTCTCCGTCTTTGGCTTTAGTCAGTAGAGGTGGTGAGCTAAGATAAGACTTCAGCTCGTCGAATGC